TGATGAGTGGTGTATGATGAGTGGTGGTTGAACAGCTGTTGAATGTCCGTAACACGGAAGTTTTGCACACTAAACTTCCTTTGATAATTTGTCATCACCCAGGTATGTTCAACATCACCCACCATTGCTGAGCCCGGCACCAGTGTCAGTCCGCCGATGCCCGCACCGATGATCGCCACTCGCGCCATGTGTGCGCTCTGATCGCCGAGGGCTTCGGGGACCGGTGAGAGGGATCCGAGGGGTCGATAGATGTGCCGTTGCACATACATCGCGAGGGCCAAGAAGACAAGCTGGGGCCCAGCATCGCGACGAATCGGTTCAAAGACTTGGAGAAGCCCTAAAAGAACCCTGGCTTACAAACATAGACAAACTGACATGAAGGGAATAGAGTGAATGCTGAATCGGACACACCACGGTGCCCAAAGCAGCACTACTTCGTGGGTCCTGTGGCTCATGTCTTTTTCACCAATAGACGCACCCAAACGCACGTGACTCTTAGGGCCTAGAGGGTGCATGGGTTCTGTGGCATTCGACTACACAAAACCCCCAACTTGCACACTTCGCACCAATCTTTGTAGTCGAATGCTGAATGATTGACAGTCAAACCCTTTCCGGAACTGTCGCGTTGGCAGGCAGTTTGATGTTCTGGTTCCATCTTCCACAAAACCTGGGACAATGAATCAAGAAAGGAGCATGCGCAAACTGCAAAGGACTTTGAAATGCCCATTAAGGTCTCCCCTGCCATCTCACCAGTGCCTGCCTGATTTCCAAGCTTTCCATATGTCTTTGAAGTGGCTGAATCAAAACATGTTCTACCAACATCCGCATGCCGCGCAAAGACCGGCGACCGGATCCCGAACTGCGACCGGATCCCAACGCTCTGAAGTCGCGAGCAAGGCACGGTCTGAAGTCGCTGATCCAACATAGACTCAAACAACCACCTCAGCCAGGGGCAATCAAGTATAACTCGTTGGAAAGAACCTCAATGCAGCACTCAAAAGCAATCTACATCCGATCGAATGTCCTTGCCTTCCTTGCCAACATGGAAAGGCAAAGACGGGCGAATGGCATCAAATGATGCGGAGCACATGGTTTTTGAGGGATTTGAAGACGGACAGTCGTTCACTTGGTCATCAGTCATCAGTTTGGCACGATCTCGTTCTCATGGCAGCTGCAGAAGGTGAGGCAAGGGTTGGCGAGGGTAGGCGTGTGGGAGCATCTCCCCTATTCCTGTTTTTGTCATCTCTCCTTGCATCACGTGCACCAAGGGTGGACAAACTGCCTTTTCTCTTGGCACCATGTTCCGCCCCTCGGTCATCTGTTTTCAACGACCGGCCCATTTGCCCACATGCCCCGCTGCTCCCGTCAAGTGGGGGACAAGGGGAGTTGAGCTTGGGAAGAATGGTACTAGTAATTAAGCATGGTTGCCCAACATCAATTTAATGAAAAGAAGGCAACCACTGATGGAAGGCCATTGAACCACCCCTGGTGCCAGACATGCTCCGAATGAAAAGAAGGCGTTTCGGCCAGACATGCTCTGAGGCTCAGAGAGCCGCCATACTGGCCGCCTCCGAGCACTTCTGCAACGCTCAGGGAGCAAACATAGAAAAGAATGGATCAGCGACAGCTCGAAGGTCAGCAAAAGTTTGCAACCATACATACGTGCAGCTTGATATGAAACTTCTTCTCTGATCAAAGTAGATTTCTGTCATTGCAATCAGGATCAATTGACGCGGGAGATCTATCTGTATCGGAACTCATTCGCGAAGGGTACAGTAGGTCACGGGTTTGATCCATTTGATCATAGTCATTTGGTCTCGATCCAAAGCATTCATCGTGCGTTCAGCATTCTGGCGATATGAGTCTGCAAAATATATAACTCATGCTTTGAGCTTATGAATGAATCCCAGGCTGGGCTGGGCATACCTTTTTGCCCCCTGCTTTTTTCATCTTACCATATTTAATCCCCATCATGATCTGGCCGCAGAAGTCCAAGTCGGACAAATGCGGGCGTCTGTTGGCTGAACTGTGGAGGAGTATTTTCTGTTCGCTGTGCTGCGCACCTTGGGCGCGATGTTCCTCTGGACGTTCACGTTGGGGACGTCACGTTGGTTTAAGATTGAGCAACCGCAATACCTGGGGCATGATCCCTTAGAAAAGGGTCTCACTCTTTCGCATTGTCGTTGTTGGCTTTGCTGTATTCGGCAAGAACTTTGGAAGCAGGCCAAATCGGTGTAGACCGGCCCCTTTGGGCGGCTTTCCACTCTGCGGTTGTCAGGTCTGGTGTGTAAAGGAGACAAAGTGTGACACTCACTCACAACGACTAGCTTCAGTTGCGTAGAACTTCTCTATACTTCTCTTATCTACATATGTATATATATATCTTTATCTCCATGAGTTTGCTGGTTCAACTCTCAGATCCAAGAAGTTCGACTGTCCATTCGGGCAGTGCTCAGAGGTTTGAATCCCGCTTCTGAATCGAGGCACATGGCAATCTCCCAGGGGCATTCACGGATGCAAGCGCTGTAGCCGACGACATCCACGACATGATCTGTGGCCTGGCGCGGCTTCGCGAGAAACCACTGAGCCTGATGTTGCCTGCCAGCATTTCTGGACCCTTCACGTATGCCTAGGAAACAATCCTCTGGAATCCTCTTGCACATCTAGGTGCCGTAAAAAGCGAAAGCCCATATACCTGTGCCGATGTTCAGTCCTTGCAAAATATGTGGATCCAAACTGGGTTCATGACAGCTACAACCAGGGTCTTTGTTGGGTGTTTGACATGGAACCCCATGACGCTTCATCACTCACCTGCAGCATGTGAAGGGCCACATCCCAGCGTCCACTGCTCACGGCATGCAGGGCGCTGTTGAAGCAAATGTCATCAACTTCCACCTCACAATATGTTCACATCAAAATCAGACGTACAAAGAATTCTGTTCTTGGCCTCCCCAACCAGTTGTGACTGAGAACCACATCCGGTGCATGGAAACGCACATTGTCTCACTGTCATGGCTGTCAGTCGTGCTGCTACAGCGACACATGGTGGGCTCGGCATGGCTAGGCTATGTCGCTTTTCAACCTCTCCCGGTCTGGCAGGTGAGTGTCAAAGCACCTTAATAGAGATCAACAGAGTATGGTCTTGTACAGTCATCCTTGAATATATAAATATAAAACTATGCTGAGCAGGAGACCCCAATAATTCTACAAAACTACCATAAACTACGCAATTCTGTCCGAGGGATCTGGTCAAAGCATGTCAAAACTCATCCATTCAATTGCGGAATGTGAATTTGACCTGCAAGTGCAGGAACAATGAGTATGTAAGACTGTTGGACGTTCTCCAGGATATTTGGCCGTTGCAATCTATTTGTATGGAGATGCCCCTTGGGCCCGTTAGGCCCTCACTTGCCGCTGGGGCATTTGCTCCAAAACAGCCAAGGCGGCTTCCTCGGTTGTGGGTGGGCTCGGCGGCCAGTTGGGTCGGGGAGCGGATGGTGAGCGAATCCAAATGAATCGATGGTTCCTGAATGCCTGGAATATACATCACCCTGCCACAAGCAATGATCCATGATCTTTCAACATAACACTTCACTTGCAGGCCCATCATTGAGTGCGGTCTACATGAGTCTATAATGTTTATGAGCTTGTGTGGCCGGCATGGAAGATGAGCGATCAAGAATTGAAGAGCTACGCCACCATCCCACCTCAGCATGTGGTGCATGTGCACATCTGCACATCGGTAGAACAAAACAGGTTGTCCAATCTCATCACTACACCGCCAGGTTAAACACACTGCGCTCGGGGATGTTGACCGGGTTCGACTAGCCATCAAAGTGGAGAGCAGAATCCCATAAGCGTCCTCATCCTTGTTTCTCAACCAACTCGGTGCTTTGATGTTTCCTTTTTTGGTGATTTTGACGTCCACAGCCACCCTGAATTCATCTGGTCATATCATGTTCACATCATCTCCATCAAACATGTTGCCTCAGGCAAGCCTTAAACCCATCTTTTAGGGGCAACTTAAATAGTCCAAACTCAAGCTGGGTAACCCAACTGCCAGCAAAACTGACAAGGAGCCAAATGGGCATGCCTCACCAAACTTCAAATCAAGCAGCCACAGGACAGCTTGGCACCCTGGTCTTGAATTACATCTCTTCACAATGACGGCCAAGGGGAGTTTCTCTCAATGCATGAAACACTGGAAAACGATTGATGAACAGCATATAACAGCATCTATCCACCAACAAAACCAACTCGGACTCGCTCACATGGAAGTGGAAAACCACCCCAAAAGCGGAACACCGGTCCACCCTCGACCCTCGACGTCTGCATCGTCCACCCTCGACGACGGCGATGGTATCCATGTCTCCCAAGCAGAGGAGGTCCCACAGGCCGTGAGGGCCAGTGTGAAGCTTTGAGCATCTGCCTGGTGGAAATTGGATCAAATCCCTCTGCGTGAAAAAGGAAAACCCTGAAAACAGTGGACGATTCTGAGGACATGTCCTCTGACAGGAAAACCATGGTTTGGTGTTGAACACTTTCCTGGTTCATAGAGGGACATCGCCTTCGAGTCTTCCAAGGGTGTCATGACCTGATTGTTGTATTGAGATGAACCAAGAGGGTGGTCCTTTCCTTTGGACCGAGACGGCATGGGGTTTTGGACGGATCCGTGGATCTGAAGCGGTCCGAGCAGAACGACATACCCAAACTGCCACAGATGTGTTTTCTTCCTTCTTTGAGGATAGACACCCAAAACATCCCAAAACCAAACAGATGTTCCAGGTATATTTCCTGTTCAATTGAGGGAAACCGACTCGAAACGCACCAATTTTACGGGTGGATGCGATCAAAGGCGTCAAAGCAAACACAGGACGTCTGCGTCCAGGAACCCTATAACCCTGCACACAGGTATACAACCCAAAACTGAACCCATGTAAAGATCTATCATGATCTGTGTAGATCTCGGTGGTCGCCCCTATTGGATTTACTGACCGATATCGACTTCATTCGACTTCTATATACTTACATGTAGATATATCATATCCTGTGCCCATGGTCTTACCTCCATGAGCTTTGGCCACTCACGCCTGCGCGTCACCGTTCGGTCATCGACCCCACCAGCACTGTGCCAACGCCTCATGTTGCTGCAACATAGAGAGCACCATTGGCCAGTTGCCAGCACAAGCACTCCTCATTGGCCGGGACCAGACTAGTGTCTCTTCAGACAAGCCAAGCACACGCAAAAAGACACACAGCAGAAATGGAGCACCAACACGATTGTGATCATTTGTGTGTAAGGGTTGGAGTAGGGGACGATTACCCATGTTCTTCTGCATTGCACATCTTTCCATCTACTTGAGGATTACAAGCAATTACAAGCACAATCTTCACCCCTCACATCCCTTTCGGCCCTGTGGCATTCAGAATGCCCATGAAACAAAAACGCCTACCAAGGTGTCTTCAGCAACACCCAGGCTCAAGGCGGAATTCCACACGATCAAATTCAGCTCCAAGCGCCTGCGCGTCACAGTCAACTTGTTGGTTGTGGTGGTTGTGGTGGTGGTGGTGGTGGTTGTGGTGGTTGTGGTGGTTGTGGTTGTGGTGGTGGTGGTGGTGGTTGTTGTTGGGTGGTAATCCCTTGTTTCTTTGTTTGTTGGAATCCAGTTAAAACTCAACTTGGACCAACCTCGGAAAATTCCTCCACCGATGCAAAGCTTGTGAAGCAACATGATGATCACACCAGGTCATTGAATTCACACCCCCCATGGTATATAGTGTATATATATATAACTTCTCAGCTTCATGACCTGGTCATCATGTCTGGCCCAAAAAAATGAGTCATTGTGAGTCTCACTCCACGTGAACCTGACCCAAATGATTCAATGAGAAGTCCATCCTGTTCAACTTCGACGCTGGTCGATTTCCGCCTTCTTTCGATTCGCTCCAAGACATCCAACGCAAAGCACTCTGAACTGGACGAACGAAGCGCAGCACCGTAGCTGACCTGTGGTGCACGCAATAGGCACGCACCGCAGGGCGAAATGTGAGGGTAGCGGCGAAAATGGTTGGTAGAACCTCAAAAAGTGCACTCTGACCCATGTTCCATGGAAGTGGATGGCATAGCCCCTTGGAAGACTACGAACAGGTCTGCTTTTTCCGCTTCCATTTGACGTAAGTACGACTCAGTAGGAGTGTTTACGGAGTTTGTGATGTTTGTCGCCCAATGTTCATGTCCTCCGTTGGACGACATGGGATCCTCTGACATGCTCTGACTGAGAGCGATTGGAGATAAAACATGTCTGAAGAGGATGTTGAACAAATGGTTTGGAGATCTGACAATAATCACTCCAGTTCACACAATAATCTATATGACCTCTGACCATCAGCGGATGTTCTGACCATCAGGGTGGTGTCCGAGTATGAACCTGCTAAGTGACTCCGTGAGATTGTGGAGGAGTCACACTTGACAGGCTGCATGTTCTGTTTGGAGGGCATTTCAGAGTCTACTCCTCTTTCAACCTAGGAAGTCTTCTAGATCCTTCAAGTAGGTTTTACATGGATTTACACATCAAACATCCTTCCAAAAAAGGATAGCACCTCCTGGCTTCTCCCCGCCTCATCGGCTTCGAGCGCCTCCTCCTCCTCCTCCTCTAAGCTTTTCAGCAGCTGCAAGCTCTGAGTCCATTGATGACTCCTCATGAAGAACACACCTTCCTAGATGGGCGGGTCGTAAGCGATCTGCTACTAGTATCTGTGCAGGTCGACAGGAGGGACTTCAGGGGTGCCAAAAGCATGGTTTCCAACGGGTTCTTTGAGGCTCTCAGAAGCAGGGGAGGAAAGGTCATGCACACAAGGAGGCTCTCACTAGGGCATGATTAGCAGTAGAGAAAGGGCGAAACTAGAAAAGGTCATGCAAGGGACCAGAGATTCAGCACAAAGGATCTCAAACGCTCTATCGAAAGAGACCCTTTTTTTGGGGGAGACAACCTAGGGGGGAACGGTCCGAAACACTGGAGACTGTCAGGGCCCAGGATGGCGATTTTGAGCGGGTTCGAGAGCCTCAGGGATCTGTAGAAAGAAAAACAGTGGGCTTCCAGCACTTCATCCTGCTCGGTTCGCACAGCGGATGTAGACGGGTCAAGTTCATGGACTATAGGGACTTGTGCCGGGTGTCCACTTCTACTTGCCCAGGTACACTGCTACACCGTTAAAGAAAAAACACCACTTCTCTGATTGGATGATGACGTGATGGCCTGCACTACAAACAAGAAAAGAACCTCTCCTTGAGCAAGCGCTGATGGCCGCGTTGTAGCTAATCACATCCCGGCACGGCATAGTGCCAAGCCTGGAAAATTGAGCAATGCTCTTGGGTTTGAAGAGATGCAGCAAATGAGTGGGGATTGAGTCTCCGGTAGGATGACATACAAACATGACCCTTCACATACTTGTTACAATAATCAAACGACATACATTCGTGGATTCGTGGCCCTAGCCAACTGGCAAATCCTCAGTGGTTACTATTGGCATGAGCACCCAAGGGTGACCCAAAGGGCATCCCCGGTGCAACGGAAGCAGCCTATAGCAGCCTGCTAATCACTACTAGTAGTTATCAGTTATCTGAGATTATCTGTGCCTGTTGCAAAGATCTCACAACCTCGAAACCTTTCGTCTTCGGTGGACTTCATCCAGCAGTGCACTGGGATTGGGTAGTTTCAAACCGAATCACCTAATCCTCGCAGCTGTTTTCCAGTCCGACGGGTGATACTCTACCACACGACGCTGTTTCACGACGCTGCGGGGCGACCACGCGACCACGCGACAACGCAAGTTGTGCAGCCCGGGAAACAAGTGCAACGCTGTCTGCCACTGCTGGCTCTTGTCGCACGCCGTGATGGCCGAGTTGTAGGTCACGCTGTTGGGTTGCAAGGACCTCGACGGCATGTCATCTAACCTCGGGTGCCGGAGAGACCGGTGAGTTGCTGTTAGGTTCGCCCGGTGTTTCCCGGTGGTAGGACCGGTGAAAACATGAAGGGCCAAGAGTCCATCTGAGATACTGTAAATGATCTTTTATGATCTTTTGGGGAATCAGTACTTACACTAAGTCGGGGTTCAACCAAAGGACATAAAAGCACAAAAATTGTTTCCGGGCTCTGGATGTCCCAAAACGAGTTGTCCGCAACCATTCGCTATTATACTTTCTGCGGGTCATCCGCTTGCGCGGAGTAGTCGAGTGAAACCAGGGACCCGAGCGTCGAAGAAAAACATCACCAGACACCATTGAAGAGGAATATCCCCACAACTAGTTTGGTATCTTTTCCTGACCATAATAATAATGGAATAATGTAGCAAAAAGGTTAGGTCTAGGGCCCTTTTCCACAAGGTTTCTGACACTACAATCATCATTCTTCAAGGCATTTGACAACCCTCACCACTGTGCCCACCATTGTGGCCATCTATGGCCTGCAACTCCGCCACAAGGCCAGTGCTTGGTGCCATTGCATGGCCTGGATCGATCTGGAGTCTGGTGGGGGTCTTTCAGCATCTACCATGATCGACCAGGGTCTTTGTTTTCGCTTCATGAAGCCAATCCTTCCGAACCACCGAACCACACCACTGAAGCCAAAAGATCTTGGGTCTGGAATCAAAAGACCCCATGGCTTAAACTTCCAAAACATCTTCAACCGCGAAAAAAAGAAAAAAAAACAACGCACAACGGAAACCAGCCTATTATAGGTTGCGATGGCATTTGAATGAATTGGAACAGCCTACCTGCGTCCGTAAAACCCAGCATTTCCAGCTGCACGGCACCGTGCCGTCGCCGTGCCGCAGGAAGCTGCATTGGGTGAAGAGGGGGATCGAAGTGAATCGTCAGACGGGGTCATCAGGCGGTCTGACAGATGCTTCCACACTGAGTAGCCGATGTCTGAACAGGTGGAATTCATAGGGGTTGGAACAGAGTTGGAACATGAAATTTCTGGGTGTGTTGGCATTTGAGACATCTGAAAGAGCCAGGGGAAGAGACAAATGAGAACATCCAGAAACCAGTGTCCTAAACATCCACAGCGGAGGGGAGGATCCAGAACTCCGGACCATCCTCTACCAGCCGCGGAAAGCTGTGGCCACCCAAGTGCAGCGGGCCTTTTCGCATGCGGCGATGGCCGCGTTGAAGCTGATTACATTGGGCCAAACCATCCTGAGCGCATTTGGTCTTTGGGGGAGGCTTTCAGCCAGTCCAGGTTGGCTACAGCTTCTTTATTGCTACGTAGCAAGTCAAGGTCGTTTTCAACTTGTGTGACCTGTTGTAAATTTGTAGTACATGATGCATTGGGATTCGATGCTTCAATGATTTGGTTATTTTGGGGGGTCCGGGACCTCGGCACTGCACCCTGGCCTAGAGACCAACATGCATAGGCTCTTGGCACGTGATCATCATCTGAGATATTGAAGATCGTTCCCAAATCCACCTAGATTTCTGGCTGAAAATGTGTGTCCCAAAAAAGAGGCCTCGCCAAGTGAGTTGCTTGTCGCTGCTTGTCGCTGCTTGTTGACAAACGGAGTCATTGATGCTATCTGAACAGTGGACTCTGGCTGCGGGTTGAGCATCTCTTCTTCCATGAGATCCAAGATCCTCAAAGCCACCAGCCAGGGTGAGCAGCGAATGGTTCCATTGTAGCTGATCTGATCCACCTGAGGCGAAGCAGCGATGTCTAACCTCCCAAACTTTTTGAGAGTAAAACCCTTCTGGTCGGGGTATGTTCATCAGTTCTGGAGACTCCACTGTGAACATCGAACCCTGAAGGATGCGAGAGCCCATCCGAGACGGGACCCGTCTCGGATGCGAGATATGCTCATGGCACTCATGGCCCCCTGATCCACGTCATCTGCTCCCTGTGTCGTTTTCATCTCATTGATCACAGGAAAAACCACCGAATCCCAGTCAATCAGAACTGTTCTGTTGCTTGGTGCTTTGAACCACCATCTGGTTCTTGAGGATGATCATCCAACGAAAGGGTTTCCAGAAAGGCGGCGGTGAGGGTCGAGGCCTAAGTTTCAATCATTTCTACCCTAGTCTTGCAGACATTGTTTACACTTCCCTCTTCTTAATTCCCTCTGTAATTCCGTTTGCAGTTTAAGAAAGATTGCCTCGTCTAAAGTTTAAAGTTTACACTAGGCAATGCTTCTTAATTCCCTCTTTGATCCTCGCAAATATATCCGCCTTTTGTGGTCTAACGGTCCCGGTGCTAGTAATAGCTGACAAGAATGAGAATCAGTTCGCAACAATTTCCATAGAATGAACACCACCTCAGTGTGTATGAACACTCGTGCATGGCCAATTATATAACTTGGTGCCCATTGATCTGATCTGATCTGGACCGCATGGTGGCATGCTGTACCTGTGGACCCAAACCCACAGGTCTACCATCTATCTTCCCCAGGACAAATCGAAGCTTGGGCTGGGCTTCAGGATCTGTGCATTGGAGTTTGGGTGGAAACGGCGTGCATGGAATTTTGAAAAAACATCTGAGTGCACCTACCTGAAGTCCCCTCTCCTAGGAACACTCATTTCTTTGGAAGCTTGGACGCGGCGTTTTGACAGCAGTGTGCGGCTAGCTCACAAAGGTCTCCCAGGTTCCGGTAAAGAACCAGTTGGCTAATGGGTGTGGGTCAAAACCTGCCAAATGGCCTACGGGATCTATTGACATCACCCCCGGTTCTTTTTGCCATAGCCACTCCAGTAGTTACAAACTAACTTCGCGGTGTCCTGAAAAGGCTTGGTTTTCGTTTTGTTGGGTGTGCAGTTGGTGGGCTTTGTCCTTTCTTGTTCACACATTGGATCGGACAAACATGTTTGATCATGTTTGTGATTCGCACCTTCTTAATGTTTCCTTTGTTCATGGGAATCCAGCCCGCCGGGACCCCTGCTTCAGGGGGAAGGGGCCGTTGGGCAGCGCTGCTTCATGTTACGCAAGTATCAGAGGTGTCAACCAGAGGTATCATGTGCCCGTGCCATCAAATCTGAGGAATGAAATCACGCTGCTTCACGTGGCGCCTGGAGGGTCTGCTCCACGGCCTCCCTCAACAAGGTCAAAGCGAGTGACCATTCGCTTCCTCAGGTGTGTCTGTGTCTGTGTGTATGGAAACGATTTTGCATGATTTTGGAAACCATCCATTGTTTTTGTTTTTTTGCGAGATCATGACTGGGTTGTTGTCAATAGTTTGGAAGGAACATGTTTTTGCCATTGGAATGTGTTCTTTTAAGGAAATGTTTTCACACATGGTTGCAAGCAAAGTAATTAACCCACATTACTCTTCCACTGATTGGAAGGACCCGACCAAAGCACCTTTCCACAGCACTGGCTACACAACACGTAAACAACAACAGCAACAACAACAACAACGACTGAGCACACACACACACAATGCAGCAGTGATGTAAGGCATCAGCGAAAAGAGTGAATGCCAACAAACAATTGGAAGACATCGTTCCGCACTCTCAACGAAAACAATAGACCACGGGACGAGAAGACCAACGGCCACCTGTCCTGGCCCCTCACCACACAATGAACACAATCCGAAAACTCTCCTCGAGACATCTTGCAGCTGCACTAGCGTATCGAAAAGAACGAGGTCAACACAGAACCAATCAAACGTCCTTCTATGGACGGCACATGCGACGAAGAAACTTACACCAACAGATACTGACAGGCAAACCCAATTCAACCTAATCCAGTTTGGTCTGACATCACACTCCTAAGTCCAAGTAATAAATAGGTTTGCTTGGATTTATATATATTATATGCGGTAGATCTATGTAGATCTATATAGCTGGAAACAATGTCAATCTGTTTCAACATGCTGTAGTAGAACGAAAACAGCAAAGGATGTGTGGCCTCGAAAATGTTTTCTTGAGACATTTTTTTGATTTCAAACACCCTCAGGCAGTCTGGGTCAACGTTGCCAAATCTGGGTGGAGGATCAAAATAAAACAAAATAAGGATCCATAAACAATAAAACAAAAAAAAACAACCAACCAAGGTTTCCAGGTATTTTTTTGTTACAGTACACGTCAGCAAAACGAAGCCAAATGTGCCTTGGATATGCGTCGTGTGGCCATCAGTGCTGCTCAGCGTCGGCATGCTCCTATGACAGCGCCGAAGTGGAAGATGTTTGCTTCCAGGTGCTTCTTCTTCCTGAGATGCGCAATGGTAACGACTCTTGGGTTTTCACCCGCAAGTGGACTTTTCTTAGTCCTTCTGCCTTCTCCCTTCTCCAAACGCTGCCGTTCATCCGGCAGCCTTAGGCACCCCCTCGCACGCCGCGCCGAGGCTCATGGACTTTAAGGCTTCGGCCGCCAGCGTGGGGCTTTCCTGGCCGGGCTCACCCAGTCGCAGGTCGCACGACCCGAGGGAAGTGCAGACCTGTTGAACTTGAAGAAGTGCTTTGACCGAAGGGAATTCCAGGGAACTCTGGGAGTAGGCTTCTCAGGACATGAGTTGCTTGCGAGACCCAGTGCCTGAGCTAACATGAGTTCACCAAACAAATGCCTGGGACATTGAAGAGATTTCGAGAACCAATCTTCGGAGAGGCTTGTGGGACTTTACCCAGTCACGTTCTGTTTCACCAATGGGTTGCATAGTGGCTATATGCGTATACATGAGCGGTTGGCAAAGCCTCAGTTAATTTTTGCATGGGTTCGCTATCGCGTCAATGGTCAAACACCAGCCAAATTGGGCGCGGCCACACTTTCAAATCTCTACCTCGAGCAGCTAGCTTCTTCCACTGCCTTGCGCATCCCTTTCTTTCGCCAAAATCCCTCTTCAGACTTCATCTTGGGCACGCAGATGATCATCAAACTGCAGGTCTGGCGTACGTTTGTACGTACAGCAGCTTCTGGGAGCTGTGGCCTCTGGCAACTTTGTAGTACAGTATAGTACAATTGTATTGCGGGAAAGCAGAACTGGCCACTCGGTAGTACCAATGTAGTCCGGCAAGCAGCTTCTGGGAGGCGTAGCCTCAGAACTGGCCACTTGGTGGAATTTGCGTTTGCGTGAGTCCGTGCCATTTGGGGAAGGAAAGCATGTTGGTGTAAACGCGGAGTGTCGGTGGGGAGCAGGATGATTGGCAGTGCCCACGGTGCTTGGTTTTACATGATTGTATTCAGTCCGTGGCACACCGTGTGGGGAAATGACGTGTGTAATGTCGCTGTGCCATGCGGTTTTGTGTTGCCTCGGTGGAACGTGCGTTTGCGTGAGTCCGGTCCGTGCCATTATAGGGGAAGGAAATTCTGGTGTAAACGCGGCGTGTCGCTGGCGAGCGGGATGATTAGCGCTGCCACGATGCTTTGTGTAGCATTCCGGTACGTGGGCTTGTTGACAGTGTCGGCCTTCAGTCAAAGGAACATGCTTCATGCGCTTCATTTGTGAAAAAAAACACACGGGTCGACCCTTAATTGTACTCCACACACCGATTGTGTCATGCATTCGGGTTCGTGGCTGCTATCTTGTTTATCCCAGAAATTGCCCGCCCTTTTTTGTTTGCCAACCTCAGTCATTTTTTGCAATGACATGGATTCTATTTGGTGTTGAAACCCCATGTCCCAAGTGAAGGTCTGAACATGAATGATCTTCAAATGACCTTCACTCACTGTTCTGACCTGTTCTGTAGGGAGTCACCTGTTCATCGCGAAGTCCATCCACTGTCCAATGGTTACGGTGCAGCTATTGAGGTTGATTTGATCCGCACGAGTTCATGAGTCATGCTTGAAAGCAAACAGTTCCCGCTCGAAAACGCAGAGTTGACATGTTTTTTTGCAAATCGTCTGGGGGTCAATGGCACATGGTAGTCTCCTAGTCGAGTTTCGACATGTTTCAGGCATAGCTTACTACACCATCGTCATCTATTTCCATCATCTACCGGTACCTCTCAGCCCACCCGTCGCCATCCATCCCCCGCCTTGGCCATGCCCTGCAAGAGCCGTGTGATTTGTCGGGGCTCCATGTGGACGGCCTGATGGAGCGGCAGGACGAGCAAAGCCACGGGGTGTCGGCTACGGAAAGTAAGGGCTTCGAAGATATTTTCGAGCTCCCTTCATATTTATTTCAAATGTTCACAACGTGATCTAATGTATATAATATATAAACGTCTAGATGAAAGCAGGATTCACTGTCCATCAATGAGCCAGTCAGACTTCGTCCTAATGAGTTTCAGAAAAAGCGAACTCTTGTTTTTTGTTCGCTTTTGGTTTAGTAACTCGATGCACTATTCCTAGTGAGTGCCTTCATCGCACACCCCGAAATCTGGGCCTCCTCCTGAAGGAGGATCTCCGGGGAAGTCGAAGGTCCCCTAAAAGGAAACAACACATGATGCAGATGGCACTGTTGTTTGAAAATCATTTGTCTCAAACCACACCCCTTGCCGTTCACAGGAATGGTTTCATCTTTCCACAAAAGTTCAAAAACAACCTTTCACATCCTTTCACAATCTGACACAACAAGGCTCTTTATATATATATATATATGTTCAAACCGAGGCCGTCTTGGCCAAACAAGGGAAACCTATCCCAAACGCGCGGCCGCCCCTTTTTAGCCTTGCCTAAGCCAAATGGGTTGCCTGTTCACGAACGAATGCTTACGAAATGCCTGCTTGCTTGGACACTGCTTTTAAACTCCTATTATAGTCTTTTCTTTATCGAAAACTTCAAGCACAAATCTTCCGGACTCGTGCTGCAGCATCGAACGCAATCGGCATGCTTTCGTCCAGCCATAGATCACTTCTTCTTCTCACGAGCTTCTGTTGTTCCAGGGTAACATGTGCTCTCGGTCTTCTGCTCGAATCCCACTGCCTGTAAATACTTGGCCAGATCTTCGAATCGGCCGCCCCGATTCTTTCCATGATCACAAATCCACTTCAGATAAGGAGCACGCTTGGGGTCACTCACCAGCTCACGGTAAGATAGCTTCTCACCTGCCACCTTGGGCAATGCACAGATCGTTGAGCCCCAGTCCTGGAGGTCGGTCACTCCAGGAGGAAGATCAATGGCCTTGGCCTTGGGCATCACGGGCATCTGACCGGCAATTTCCTTCGGAATCGCACGCTCACACATGATGGAATGTCCGTGACCCTCTTCATATGTCACCGGCTCCCACTCATCAGCCTCTGGCTGGGCATGGTCTCGAAGTCGTTTGCACGAATCGTTCATTGAGCCAGCACTCTCCACACTTGCTTTGGATGAGATTCCGTACTGATTCGCACGGCTGAGGATCTCACGAGCCGCTGCAAGCTCCTCAGGAGACACTGGAACTGAGCGGGACTCCATGTCGAATCACCCCTAGACTCTTTGTGAAGGCAAATGTCTCGCCCTCGTGATCGGCTGAACCAAAATCCTTCGAGCATCGGCGGTCAGTGATCTGAACTACACCGTTACCGCCTGCATCATCAAACAACTGCAAAAATTGAAAAACATCTGACCTAAACAATTTTGCTCCCTTTTCAAGATTCTCCCACATGAATCCAGGCGAAAGCCAACTGCACATCAGTTGATTGACGCTCATTGAAGGACATGTTATCTATCGTGAATCGGCATTATTCTACGGCTCAAGGACTTATGCACCAAATTATGCTATCATGCTCGCAAAAACTGCTTTGCTCAGTGAAAAACCCTCTCACACTTAAGCATACAGACTGTACAGCATGAACCTCAACCTTCGGCCTTCTCGACCTTCTGCTTCTCCGATCGACTCTGAGCCACACGACGCCTTCGATCTTTCTCGGCACGTCTGCGATCCATCATGACTTGGTCGTCCGCTAGCTGGTAGCGGGAGCTGCGGAGAATTGATCTTAGCAAATCTACTGGCTCGGCGCGATCTTTCGTGAGTGCGTCTGCTGCCATGTGAGTAGTGGGGCACCATCTGGGTTCCAATCTAGTCCGTTGGATACACTGTCGAATGATAGCGTTGTCTATCGCTGTTCTTTTGTCATCAAGAACCCCTCCACTCCCTAAGGACGTCAGATGATCATATAATGACCTACAGTCAGTGATCCCTATTGGTGATCGTTTGTTCAAAACCTCTTGGGCAGATTCTAGATCAAAGGGACCGTCCAAACATTCTGACAACATCAGCAACATCCATTCGCACACACCTGAGGCCGTCGAAAAAGCCTGTGCTTCGCCCGACATGGTCGAAGCTACAACCCTTGGCATGCGGTATGACTTCCAGGAGAAACAATGCACTGGCACATCAACAGCTTGTCGCATCTTATCTGAAGTGAAGCAAATCAACCAACCTCCCTGTGTCTTCAGTTCTGAACTGTTTGCAAAGGCCGCATCCGACCAAAAACACACTGTAAGTTCATCTAGTGGGATGTGTGGTACACGAATCTTCAAATCAGCTTGTTGGCGTGCTCGACGCACTGCTTGATTCACCTGGATCAGGTCTTGAACAGTTGGTGCTGGAAAGCATTGTTGACTGAGCGACGTCTGCACTGCCAAGTCTGGTCTTGACTGAGTGCTAATCCAGCTTAAAGCACCGTTCACAGCTCTCAGAGCTGAAACTTCCTGCGGAGTTGCTAGGAGCCATGGTTTTCTGGCCCTTTCTTTAGAGATCTTTATCGGCTTGATGTGCTCAGCATAGTCTTGCTGTTGGAACTCAATTTCATGGGTCATTGGATCCTGAGTATACTTGGTTCCCAGAAACTCCCCAGTCCCCGATCGCCACTTTCGGAACGGAAATCTCGCACGCAGATGCTGAATTGCCTTCTCATATTGTTTCCCTTCTCCCCCAGTGATTGTATCATCAACATGAGCACCTAAAATGCCTTCCAACTGATTTCGATCATTGTAGCAAAGGTACAGGCAATTGTCAAACTTGCTCTTGGTGAACCCGGCTTCTTGTGCAACCCGGTTGAATTCGCAATACCATTCATGAGGAGCGTCGTTAGCCCCGTAGATATTGCCCAACACCTGTACCAGGGATCCTGCTTCCACGCCCGGCACTCCCCCAGGTGGTAGTTCTGAGTAGACAGGATTTGCAAGAGCTTTGTCCCGGACATCTGCCTCCAAAAATGCTCCTTTAATGTCCCCCAGATGCATGACCCACTTGTTGCTAGTCAACATCTGAAGAATCAAACTCCGTCCAAATTGGGAGAGCGTGGGTGAGTGGCATCTACCAGCGAGCACCTTGGTAAACAAATCTGGGTCATGATGACCACGCAAGCACCATCGACTCTTGATCTTTGATTCTCCGTCTTCATGCTTCTCAATTATCACAAACCTACTAGTCATAATTCGATCTGGCTTCTGTTCTCGAATGCGTTGGGCTTCGCGTGGAGCGATGACTCGAAAGGCCTGTTTCTCGTCTCTAAGTGTGGTCCACTCTGTTGTCTTGGAAGCGTCTATCCTTTCTTGCAACTCAGGTGGGTTCTTGGAATGATGTAGCTCTTTCTGCATCTTCTTTTGTAGAAAACTCGCGATGAGCACTTCGGCACTCTCTGCTGGACCAAACTCGGAGACCAAGTCAGCAAGGAGACAGGTCTCATCTGTCTCTGTTCGCTGACTCTTGCTAGCCTGACTTGATGGGTTTTCAGGAGAGTGACTTCTCTTCGTGCCATGAGCTTCGGTCAACACTTCTTGCAAATCTTCCATCTGTGTATTTATTGGTCGAATCAAAAATGTCGGAGGACTCTTTGAAGGCTGACGAACTCTGACAGGACCATAGCCCGTGTTTTGCCAATAAGGTTCCGACACCGATCGAACATATGGTTCACTGCTCTTAGTTGTTTGTTTCTCTTCCGTTTCATGAGCGACCGAGTTCGTTGGCACATCTGATGTCATCTCTTCTGAAACACGGTCAGGACCTACGCTGGAAGACGGCACGCCTGAAGGGATCATCCTGCGTTCACGGATCCTGAACTGTGTTTCTCCCTTCCAGGGATCTTCCCCCCCAGTTGGCATGCTTGCTATCGGCATCTGACAGTGGTTGATGGACTACACATTCTTTGGTGTCTGAGCGGATCGTCTTCCTCCAGTTATCCAACCACATACCTTTGATTGCGGGGTCATCCTCTGAAGGCCAGAACAATTGTGTCCGAGGCTCCCTGTGGATGCGACACATGTACTCACCCCGCTTCAACCAAAAGTCTTCTTGTTGTTGTCTGGCGACAGCTTGTTCAGGTGTAGGTGTATTGGTGAGGTCAACGAACTGTGTACCAACCTGTTTTTTGTCTGTCTCGTTCAACAAGGACGACAAACCCAACATCTCTCTTCCATCAGCTTGAGCTAGAACACGTTCACTTTCAGTAGTGTGCCTTAAATGTTCAGGAGCTACTTTGAAGATGTTCTTGCGGTGAAAAATGAGGAAGTTGCGTCCAATCTTTCCCATGACGATTGCAACCCCATACCATCTGCCTCCTACCAACCGAACGCCTTTCTGGTATTTCTGAGTTCGCCAGTAGGCAACATAGTCACCTGGCAGGAATTCCCTCTCAGCTCTTGGACGTGCGTTCAAGGCGGTTCGGAGACTGTTGTCATCCTGGGACATCACGAGGGCCATACGAGCTTGTGCTCTAATGGCAGCTGCTCTCTCTGCAGTTTCATCATGCAGAGGCGATGTAGCCGCCACGGGACACGGCCACTCTTGAAGGAGGTCGCTTGCAATCTTGGGATTTCTGCCAAAGACCAACTGACATGGTGACAACCCTTTCTGGTTTAGAAGCTCATTCTTGGCATTACACGTTTGGATGACACACTGTTCGTACTCGGCTTGACTCTTTGGTTGGACCTGATCAAGTACCTTTTGCAAGATCACCTCAAACAAATGGCCATGCTTCTCTACCTTTCCTAGCTGGTTGTGTGCTTCTGTCGCAATGGTCGAAATCCGAATGCCATCTTGTTCCAATCGTTCAAACACATTTTCAGCTGTATTGGTTTTGGCGGAATCGACCACGACCTCGACTGGAGCTCCTGCCCACCGTTGCCACGATTCCAAAAAAATCTTCTTCAGAACCTCGGAAGTCTCCTTCTCAAACAGTGGAATCATCATCTGGAAACTGGTCGCGTAGTCAACGATGTTCATGCATTTGACTTGTTGGTTCACTCTCCAACCGGGTAGGAGCTTCACGTCCCAACCAACCTTGTGGTTAAAATCATACACCTGCTCTGGTTTTGCGGGCAAACATGGTGTGGGTCGTTGTCTCTGCTGGCAGATCTCACACTGCTTCTCTACTTGCTCTGCAGCTTTCAAAGCCAGTTCATTGGCTCCGGCATTCTTCAGGATGCGACCGAGGGTTCGAGTCGACGGATGACCTAGATTGTTGTGCAGTTTCTTAACTAAAAGACCAATTTCCTGAACTTCGGAAGCTGCACACACTTCGGCAACCGTGCTCTCACTCGGTTCCTGCAAACAAGAAAAATGACACAAATGCCATGCTGGACGAATGCACTGCAGCCATGTGTGAACAAACATGGGTGTGTACTCTGCGGCTCGACTACTTCGTGTTTCCCCCCCCCAACACATGCCCCTCCAATGACTGATGAACGACGTGTCCTGGACACTGCAAGGCGAGATCGGCCATGTCTTGATGGGAAACTGCAAGTCCAGTAGGCTTCAAAATTGGCCTGTCGTTGTCTGCGTCACGGAGGTCATATGCACACATGTTGGCTTTATGCACGGTCAGCTGTCCCGTCTGCAACAACTTCTGGATGGGAGGATGTCGCCACAAATCACTCGTCCATGGATGTTCAAGTAACACCCGTCCCCCACGTTTCAGTTGCTTCCGGATCTGCTGTGCACAAAAATCTGCTTGCGCTCTTGCTTGTCTTTGATGCTGTAACTGTTGCACCACTGGTAACTTACTTGTGTCTATTCAACCGATACCAGCCCCCCAATGTTTGCACTCGGGACAACAGATCAACAGCTCTGGTTTGGCTTCATCTAATTGCTTGTCGACTTCATTCTGCACGCTGGGTTTGGTGAGATCCCAGCCCTGCTTGATGTCGAAGGCCAATCCTCTCTCCCCCTGCTTTTCCACTGCTGCTGTGAAACGAGGTGGAGAAAACAACTCGGCCACTGTCACGCTGCCCTGACTCTTGGTCCATGCCTTCTGTTGAGCCAGCAAACAACGTTCTTCTCGTCTTGTCATGACTCTCGTGCAGCCTTCGAGCAGGTCTGACGAATCCTCTTCGTCAGTCTGTCCTGACTGGTCACTTTCTGCTGTCTCCTCCAACACCTCACGGGGCTCAGGCTCCTCCACCTGAGGGAGAGGCTCCTCACACAGAAACACTTCCGTCTCCTGTTCATCGTCCATGACATTCAGGATGAATTGACCCGCCGAGTTCTTCTGCAGAGGCTGTGGCTCGGATCCAGCAATAGACATGGTCTCTGCCTCAAAGTCCAAGCAAGCTCTCAAGCTCTTCATTGTGTTGCGACTGAGCAGCAAGGGTGCACTGCCTTTGATGATGCAGCATTCAATTCGACCTGGCTTCCCATGGATAGTGACCGGCATAGACACCACCCGTTCCGACAGCTCCTCCTGCCCATTCCCAAATCGAAACAAATTGTGCTGAGCTCGAGTGGGTGGAGCAGGCATCTTCTTGTCGTGGTACAGCCTCAAGAACTGGTTCAAGGTCTCCTGACCAATCAACGTTCTGCTGCAGCCAGAGTCGATGATGCCATAACCTGGCGAGGACACCAAATACACTTCTTCAACCATGGCAGCCCCATGAGCCTTGTCTCTGTCGGGTCGACTGCCACTTGTTGTGCTGCTGCTGCTCTTCTGGGGACAATTTCGGGCCCAATGTCCGATTTGATTGCATTTCCTGCAGCGGGACCTCTTCTGTAGATCAGTGACTTCTCGAGTAAACTGCTTCTTCATGGCAATGGCTTGGCCAAATTTCCTCGTTTTTTGCAGCTTGGAAATCTCAGACCTACGTTCTTTCCAGGTCGCAGCCAGAACTTCTGCAATCTCATCCTCTTCAAAGATCTCTGTTGCGGTGTTGGGCTCTGCTTGCATGCCATGCTCTGCTAAAAATGCTTCCACTTCATCAAACAACACGGAGTCCGGCGCGTCCTCTGTCAATGCACTGTTGTCCTCAACAGTCACCTCATCGTCCGGTTGTTGTACGAGTAAAGCCGATGCTGACTTGCCTCTTCGGCTCGCTCGAAACTCTGGAAAGCAACTGCGCATGGCCTGCACCACTGTCTCAAACTTCAAATCGCCCTGCGTCTTTGCAGTGACAATTGCACGTTGATCAGCTGAAAGTCCGGAGGAGTGTAAACAGATCCAGCCACGGGCTTCCGTGGGGAAATCTACCGACACCTTCCGTCTGCACTTGGAGAATGTCTCTTGCACCCTCGATGTCCAAGCTGCCATGCTTTCGCCATCGGTGGCGGAAAGCTCGAATACTTCCTTCAAGCATTCAGCAAGCCAGTCATGGGAAAGACGATCAGGGAATCTCTCCTCGAGTGCAGCCCAGATATGTTTGTCGCCATTCTCTTCCTTCAACCGATCCAACGACAAATGCTCAACTGCCTCTAAGGCTAGGCCATCAAGCAAACACAGAACAAATGGGCCACGGTGCGTGGCCGACATGTCCTTGCTGGAAGCCATCCGTGCTTCCGCCCATAACTTCCAGCGCCTGTATTCCCTGGGGTCCAAACTCTCACCATTGAAACGCTTGGTATTTCCCCCACCAGAATCATTGTTTGCCATGGCACATACGTGACACTGCTTTTGGTGCACAAGTCCTACATAAGACTCTACAACACAACCCCTGGAGGCCCCCCGTCAGCGGGGGGCTCCGCTACCAATGTTCAAACCGAGGCCGTCTTGGCCAAACAAGGGAAACCTATCCCAAACGCGCGGCCGCCCCTTTTTAGCCTTGCCTAAGCCAAATGGGTTGCCTGTTCACGAACGAATGCTTACGAAATGCCTGCTTGCTTGGACACTGCTTTTAAATATATATATATATATCAATATATATGTATATACATATATGTGACTCCAAAAGGGATCATCCTTCACTTCAGAGCTTTTGAGTCACTTTGGACTTTCAGAGCTTGTGCATTTGAGTCCAACTGCCATACCGCCAGAGGAAGATTGCTTCGGATCTGACGAACTGGGACTGCTTTGAGCAAGTCGGTCATCAATCTATGCTTGTCCAAACAACACATGGTCCAACAAGCAACACCCCCAGTGAAACCACAGCTGGCTTCTGCATTTCGTCGGCCTGCGCCGAAAAGGCATTGTCCCCTGTGCCCTGCATGCATTGCGTCGACCGGCGAATGGATTCGGGTTCCACTACATAATATATATATATATATATATTACATATATTCTTCTTGAGCCAAGCTCGAAGCAAACTCGCAGGAAAGAGCTGGCTGAGCACATCGGATTTGCCAACATGTTCTCAGCTTCAACATGCTTCAACTGTATGACCACCTTAGGTAGCCAACCTGCATCTGTCTGTGTTTGACCCCCTGAGATGAAACTGCCCTACGTAGACCTTTTCTGTCTTCATCCGACCATCACAGTAGTTGGTTTTCGGCCTGCCTCTTCAAGAACCACAACAGCCATCCGAAAGGGAGCCAAACAAAAGAACCCTTGTAATTACCAGACATGGCAGTCTCCCTTATACTAGGTTGCTGGCCGGTCAGGAGGATTCCGGTCCAGCGAATGCCATGCGCAGCTTTTCATGTCATTAGCTGCATCCACCCTCTCATCTGCGACTCGCGTGCACTTCAGGCGATCTCTGCGCTACCTTGTGTATGGATGATTGAGTCATTGCAAAAAGGTTTCTTTCCTCAACACTGAACATCAGCAAATAATCTATTCAAATACGGTTCTGGAAACATGCTGCAGTTTGGTATCTGTCTTAAATGATCAAACCACATGCGTCCTGACAAACTCCTGCACTTCTCGTTGGGACGCCTTCTGTGAGGGGCCTGCACTTTGGCAGGAAGCGCTCGGTTAAAACGCAAAGGCCGTGCATGAACCCGATCAGACCTCTTTCGAATGTGGTCCTTAACTGTTGTTCCCACCCAACACCTGTTGGAACCTAATGAAAAAAGCACAGCAATTGGTCCTTCAAAGGAAGGATCTTCTCTGGTTGACCACCTGCTCATCCTTTCCGGCCTTGCGACCTCCTACATTTGTGGGCATCGAACCGACCTCAGAGCGGCAAAACGCGGTCAGAAGTCGGAGCGCTCCGATGGAACCTGTGCACACACACTCAAAACAAGAGGAAAAACCGTTGGGTCAATCCATGTCACAATCCAAGACCGACGTCTCGTGGATGATGATGGAGCTGTTTGATACAGCAGGCCGACGTCGCTTGTTGACCGACTGTTATAGGTCATCGGACAGACCCAAAGTATACATACGGTCGGAATGCCACATGCCCCGAAGAAGCTTTGGTTCTTGGTGAAAAACGAGCAAATCCAAAGGTGTACCAGACCAAGAGGAACGGCACGTGTTTCCGAACTGTGCCACACCATGGTCCCAAATTACAAGTAGCAAACCAAAAGGAATGGCACGTGGTTCCAAACTGCACCAGACCAGAAGGAATGAATGGTACATGATTCCAAAAGGCAGGTACGTGTAAACAGGGGTCCCATACACTTCCAGACTGCAGTCAGCTTCATTGAGTACGGTTTGCAGTCTGGCACGGTACCCCCTGCAAACAAACAAGAATCTCACAAACGCAGAAAGGCTCCCTCTGACTCCAAGGGTGACACAGGCACACACACACACACACATGACTCACGGGGTGTGATCACTTGGAATGTTTGATCTATGAATCTATGATATCAATACTGATATCAATGATATCTACGTATTTATAGCTATAGCTATAGCATGCTATAGCCGATCATACTCTCTTGAGACTTGAATATCTCTTGGCCACCCACCGAGCACCGAGCTGTGCGCATGCGTCTCTCCGGTTTCCATGGGTAGCGAATCCACCGCCAGTGGAGCGACCGGGAGGTGTGGGGTCCAACAGGGCGACACAAGGCCTCCAACCAACGGGAACCCTTTCAGACGGGAAGTTCCCAGCAAATAGTTATATATATGTATATAGAACATATTAGAACCCAGAAATCACCATATGAACTCACCATGAAACCATAATATGAAATCATCCGTTATCTTGTTGGACAGCATCTTCACCGCCAAATCTCTCCCCTTTGTGTTCGTGTTAATTGTTGGGTTTAATTTAACTTAAAAACCACCGCCCTTGACATCCCAATTTCAAGCACCCACCAGACCTTTGTCTGAGAAAAAGAAACAGCTGCTTCCCACAACAAATCATCGTCATCATGTGTCATCAGCATCATGTGTCATCATCATCATCATCGTCATCATCATCATCATCGTCATCGTCATCGTCATCCACATCCACCGGACCAAACTCGCTCTTCCTGGTTCGGTTCCCGAGCAAGCGCCTTCTCTGGTGAAAGCGGCTCGCCATCACCCATGGTCGACCCAGGCGTGCGGAGTGGCCCTGGAGGCCATCGACCTCGAGAAGATGACCCTTTCTGGAGCTCCGGGGTCGTTGATCCTGCAAAATATCGATCACCCCAGGCGCATCTACTAAACAAGGACATGTTTCCTTTCTTTTCAGAAGCGTGGCACTTGGGGCTTGACCATGTTCTATGATCTTGTTTGCCAAGACCAAACTAAGGGGATTGAAACCACCAGGTTTGTGAATCGGACCTTCAAATCAACATGGTTCCGGCGGAAAGAAACGGAGCCTTTGGCCACCAGGTCATTTCCCTCCTTGTCCAAACAGTGGTTTGATATGTGTTTGTTTCTATCCTCAGGATGAGCCGTAAAAGAATGGGCTCCTAGTCTATCCAGTCAAGCAATTTGGGCATGAAAGATTCTCGTCTGATCTTCTTGGAAGTGGACATGGCAAGCTTGTTTCTCCGTTTGAGCTGGCCTCTAGGTGTAGTTGCCAAACTCACACCAAAAGATTTAGAAGACAGCACCTGCCGGTCCTCCCGGTGTCCAACTGTTTCCTACCGGTCCTTCCTGGGCGCCTGTCACTCAGTGATAAACGACCTGCCCCGTCTGCCCCCCATCACTGCCCGTCCGCGGGCAAGAACAGGGCAGGTCAAGTCACATGTGTCCCTGTTACTAGTAGCTTCTTGTTCCTGGTAGTAAGGTGCCTTGCTACTAGTAGCTTCTTGTTACTAGTAGTAATGCCAGGAGTTACGTTCGTAGCTTCTTGCTTCCAACATATTCAACACAGTGGCCAAACACGCACCGTTCTTGCTTTTCTTGGTGAACCTCACGATAACATAGAATGACGAAGAAAGTAAGAGAGGACGAATGGAATCAAAGTGCCCCCTCCAACTTCCTTGAAGGAAGTGCCCCCTCAATGGGGGAAGTTCCCAACATTGGATGTTGTTGGAGGGGGGCACCCCAACAATCTAATGCAATCAAAAAGAGTGCCCCCATCCAACTTTCTTAATATTAGACCATTCGCCCCCTCAAGAAATGCATGTCACCAATTTCCATCTATTTGGATTTGTATTTTTAAATAATTAGTGAGAACCAACCCAACCCATGGGGTTTAGCGAGTGAGTCTATTTTCCCTGGACCCAGGGGCCTTGGCAGGGCCTTGGCTAGTCTCCCATCTTGGGCCATTCATCATCACGATATGATAAACACATATGAATCATATAAACAACAGAAGAAATGTAGTAATGCAAACACGCGTTACCAGGATCCTAGGAGCATAGAAACATGTTCACTACTCTATCTAGTTAAAGATGATTGAACCTCCAAAAGACATCCTAAGCTCCGAACGTGTGGATCTCTCCTGGCAGCTTTGGTCCACAAAGGTGATGTGAAACATGCAGCACAGCGTCTCGTGGCGAACGTCTGCTCTCATGGACTGTGCTAGATTGCTCGACCCGGGCTGCCCCTGATGTTGTCACCAGTCCACAAAGAAGGAAGCAAGGGGAACACTGTCAGCCACCTGACCCAATCGTTCCCGTATGCAGTCCCACATGCAGTCACATGCACCTGTGACCTGTGTCCCAAATTGCTCTCTCACCTTTCACGACCAATTCCCAGCATTTGAAAGACTCAGCTGTCGCTGGATAAAACAAACCTATACCACAACAGGATCTTCCATATTTATACACTATCACGCTAGACCTTTTGGTTTGGGGGTGCAACCACGAGCCACCTGACGAAAGGAATGCCGGGTAGTCTCCTGCTTGACTTGCTCATCTCGCAAGCGGCTCGCATCCTCGGGAGGGGCCTGAGCAGCGACCAAGCGCACTTGTGTCGTCACAACGAAATAGGTTTTGTTGGCCTTAAATGGCTTGGCCGCTATTTAGAATGATTTCAGGTCTGGGTACAAACCCTTCTGGCCCCTACATTTCAAGAACTCCTTCGCGGTCCTTTCCACGTTTCATGAAGCATGTTTGTCCATTCACTGCATGCGGCTGTGACGGGTTAAAGCCCGTTGTCTCAAACCTCCCAAAAGCCTGGATGAGTTGACCATGTCCGGTCCATTCTGTTCATCTGACCATGTGGTCAACCAGGGTCCTGCTGCTTTGACCAACAGCAATGTTCCTGCCCTTGGCCACCTCACCTGTTGACACTCTTTGAGGTGGCACGTTTTGAACCCTTGTCTTTACTCTCTGGCTGGCACTCCAGAACTTCTGCGGAGAATTCGCGGAACTCTCTTCCGAAGCTCCCACTGTGTTCCGAACATGTTGAGTTGAGGACCCTCCAGAATATTTCCTTTCCAGTTTTCTTGGATGACACACTTAGCCTCCTCAGTCTTGTCAAGACTGCAACCTGATTCTCCATGCTGCCAAGTGTCCAAATTTTCGCATTTCAGCTTCAACCTGGTTGGTCGCACAACTCACCCTCCTCATGCTTCCATCATTCCCCAAATGAGAACACAACTACAGCCTTTCACAACTCGACTCCAACTAATTACCAACCCTCATGATAAATCGCGCTCCCTCAAAGGACTTTGCATGCCCATGCTGGGTGCGGCAAGATTTGTTCGACTCAGGTAAGCAGGGGTTTGCTGTATCGTGTGTGAAGAACGCTCATGGTCTCAGGTGCACATGGTCTCAGGTGTGCTTGTTGCCTCATTTACTGAAACAACCAGCGCCCTTGTTCTGGTTCCCGTTTCAAAGGTTAAAGATACGTCAAGATGGCAAACTGCGCGACAACAAGCTGGTAGGCCCCAGAACCAAGATAGTATCTTTGAATCA